GCAAATCTTATAAGCAACACCGTGTTTGCTGTAAGTAAAAGGAATGCTAATCTTATTTATGTTAATACAGAAACTTTTGTTGATAATAGCGGAATTAACGAAAGTAGTCAAAATGCGATTACGGGGGCTGAGGTAAAAGATCAATTGTTAGTATCTACTGGCAGTTTTTTAGATCAAGTTTTGATAGAAATTCCAGAAACATAAACAAGCGTGATAAGATTTTTATATTGTACCTTAACTCATCTAGTTTAACGGCTCACTTTGATGAGATTTATCAGCTAGCTTTAAGTAGATCACCAGTAGTTATAGCATTGTCTGAAACTTGCTTAACAGAAAAAATTCTGGATGGGGAGGTTCATATTGATGGTTATAGCTTGGAGAGAGTAGATAGTAATAGTAGAAGTACAGGTGGGGCGATTTTATACATAAGAGATGATGTTAAAATTTTAAAATCACAACAGACATTTAAACATAAAAATTATTGGTTGGTTTACACATACATCTTTTACAATAAGAAAAAATATCTTTTGGTATCTCTGTACAGATCTCCAAGTTCATCTAAACGGGATTTTGAGCTTTTTTTTCAAGCATGGTGCGAAGAAAATTTGATTGATGAAAATTGTGTCATTTTAGTTGTAGGCGACTTTAACATCGATTACAGAACGGATGAGTCAAAAGCTTTAAAAGAAATTCTTGTAGATATAGGTCTTAAAAATATTGTTTTTGCTACAACTCGCTCTGGTAGAGATAAAGACTCAATCATAGATTTGGTGCTAACGAACTCTGATAAGTTGTTTAAAGCTAATGTTATTATTACCCCAAAAATTACTGATCATTACATGATTGAAATATTACACAATGTGAGTCCTAAAGTGGCTAAGACTGTTGATACTAGAGGTGGCAATATTGATTTTTTGAGTATCAACCAAATGTTGCGCAATTGTGAGTTCAGGTACTATCATTCTGACATAAATCATAAGTTTAGCAGTTTTGTGTCAACTGTTCTGGAAATTTTAAATTTAGTTGCTCCAATAAAAACCGTAAAAATTTTTCCTAAATATAAAAAATGGTGGAACAATAGGGTTGAGATGGCGATGCGAGAACGTGATTTTAGTTATAGGACTTATAAAAATAATAAAACAGATGAAAACTTAAATGAATATAAGCAAAAAAGAAATTTTGCAGTTCAAGTGTTTAGAGAAGAGAAACGTAAGTTCTATGAAGAAAAAATATGTCAAAATAAAAATAATCCCACAGAAATGTGGAAAACTTTGGAAACTTTATTACCTTCAAAAAGAACAGTGGCTAAAATTGATGAGGTAGAAATAAATAATACCTTAATTAGTGATAAAGAGGAGTTACCTAATAAACTGAATATTTTTTTTGTTGATAGTATTAAAGATATACTTCGGGATATAGATAAGTCTGATCTTGGAGATTTTCCATTGGCTCACCATGACGATTTGGTTAATTTTTCAGATTTTAGTATGTTGGATTTTGAAGGGTTGAAAGATATTATTTTTGGAATGGCTAATAAATCAAGTCCAGATGATATTAACATCAATTTACTCAAAAATACTTTTGAGATTATAAAGAATCCACTTTTAAATTTAGTTAATTCTTCGCTAGAATTAGGTCAGGTTCCTGATATGTTAAAAGTTTCCACTATAATCCCGATCCCCAAAGTAATTAAATTAAAATCTGCCAATGAATTGCGTCCAATAAATTTGCTTTGCACTATTGACAAAATTTTGGAAAAAATGGTGTATATGCAACTTGTTGAGTATATAGATCGGAATAAAATACTAAGTGATTTTCAATCAGGATTTCGAGTAAAATTTAGTTGCGAAACTGCTGTGCAGGGTATCTTGGAAGACTGGAGGCAAAATATTGACAAAAACTTAGCAACTGGTGCCATTTTTCTTGACTTACGAAGGGCATTTGAAACTGTAAACAGGACAAGGTTAATATTAAAGCTAAAAAGCATTGGTATTAGGGGAGTAGTTTTAAAATGGTTTGTGAGCTACTTGAGTGACCGTAAACAAAGACTAAAAGTCAATGACATATTATCAGAAGATATATCTAATGATTTTGGCGTCCCTCAGGGGAGCGTGCTGGGGCCTTTGCTATTTATTATATATATTAATGACATAATTAAAAACGTAAAAAATTGTACCACATATCTTTTTGCTGACGATGCCTTATTCTATTATTCCACAAAAGATCTGGGCCAACTTGAGACATCACTTAATCAAATATTGGATGATGTGTATCAGTGGTGTAATGTTAATGATTTGAAGGTCAATATTTCTAAAACAAAGTACATGATTATTGCAAGGGAATCCATTTACAAACAGCTATTGGCTATGGACTGCAAATTATTGTTGGGCAGCGACACTATTGAAATGGTAACAAAAATTAAATACTTAGGAATTTGGATTGACCATAAACCAGATTTTAAAAGTCATGCATTAGAAATAATTAAAAAAATCGCTTTTAAAGTAAATTATTTATCTCGCTGCTCTCCATACTTGTCTACTTGGACTAAAAAAACTATATTTAATGTATTAATACTTCCACATTTCCATTATTGTTCTAGTATTTTGTTTCTCTTCAGACAAAATGAGCTCTCAAGATTGCAGAAATTGCAAAACAGAAGTATGAGGGTGATACTCAAAAAACCAAGGTTAACACCAATAAAGGATATGTTAAAAGAACTTCAATGGCTGCCAGTGCGGGAGCTTCTTCTGTTTAACACCCTAACATTCATTCATAAAATAAAAATTGGTCAAGCTCCGCAATATTTGTTAGGCAAAATTATGTATGCTTCTGAAGTGCATCAATATCATACGCGCCACAGAGAAAATTTTTATATCCCAAGGGTAGATCAGGAAAGGTCGCAAAACTCATTATATTTTAAGGGCTTGAGTAGGTATAATGATCTGCCAAATAATGTTAAGTCTATGAAAACAGTGAATTCTTTTAAAAAAGTTCTCAAAGATTATATGCTAAGTGATGTTAACTTATAAGTAAGTAGTATGTGTAACTTGTATTGTATCAGTGTACGTTTTTTTTTAAATAATTTTTTATCATTGTGTTATTGACTGTAGATTTTAAATTGTTTTTTAATTAAATTATAAATTAGCTTTAGTGGAATTTCAATTGATAACTGTAACTGTATAACTGTAAATTAGTCTTGACTAAATAAAGGATTTATATATGGTTTCCTTGTGCTCGTCAAATCCATCTGATACAAATTGGAGGGATAAGTCCTTCAAAACAGTTCTTATCTTTTTTTCATCCATATTGTTTCCTTTGGATGAGTTCTCTTGTTGATTAACCACACTTTTTTTCGATTTCACGCAGCAAAACACATTGTTTTCTGGATTTAACACTTTTGCTTGGCCAGCACAACTAGGATGGTATCGGGTCTTCAAAAAAAAAAAAACACTCAGAGATTGCTATGGTTTTTTAAACGTATGTCTTAGCAATATTTTTTTTTAATTTTGTCAATGAACTTTAATGTCAAAATGTCTTGTCAAAAATCCGAACCAATAAAGAAACAACAATGCGACATACGTTTTCGTAATCAAAGCAATCTTTGATTGGCTTTTTTTTTGAAGACACGATAGCTTGATCCGATCTACATTTTATGCAGTCCCATGGAGAAGCCACATTTTTTTTACAATGGGCACAGGTTTTTTTTTAATAATTCTGAAGGGTTACTATTTGTTGTGTTTGTGTTCGACATAACCTCAACCTATTCGACTGCTTGTATTGTTTGTAAACAATTTTCTTTTGAAACATCAGATTTTTTAATTTGTAAGGAAACCAGATAAGAAATCTATCGCTGTTACATATCCCTTTATGGGAATAAACATATTAAACCAATGGAACAGTACCGAGTAATAGTTATTAACAGTTTTGTCATAATGGATTGCCAATCAAAGAAAAGAAAATATTCATTAATTAGATCGAAATTGGCATTTTTAAAGTTATAGGAAAAAAAATTAAGAGTGTGCAGAAATTTTGCTTTATCAACAGGTATGGAAAACTCTAGAGCTGGGTGATAACGAAAACAATCCACAAGAGTATCAGATATTAAAATTGAAGCAGGCTCAAACTTGGCAAAGCGTAAATCCAGGATTGAACCACGATTGTTGGTCACCCCATTGTATTGAAACATATTAAGAAATGCAGTACCAACACATAACAATATTTCCTTAGTTGACCTTACATTACCAGGTAATAAACCAGAGATCCTTACTAGTGAACCACATTGTTTGGAAAAGATTAAAATCTCCAAGAACAAGCACATTTTCAAACATTTCACAGGCACTAGCATCCCCCTCACCACTATAGTATTTTAAATTAAGATCAAACATTCTTCTGCTTTTATTTAGCAGATGACATAAAAATAAATTAGAACCACTGTTATCCTCGCTGTTAACCAAGGTAATGAGGGAGGCAAACTCCTTGGATAACTGAGAGCTTGGATAATCCGAAATTACACAAATTTACATGCTAAAAAGAGTCCAAAAACATAAATAGGAAAACCTCGCACACAAGCCAAATGGATTCGATATCGGGCTAACAATTTCAAATGAAAACATGTATGTATTATGTATGTGTAAATTTTAAAAGCTCATACAATACGGAGCATAGACTCTCATACCTCGGATAATTAGAGTCTTTGGGTCTCCAGAATGGCTTGGTTCGACTTGGTGGAACCAGAGCTTGGATAATCTGGGTTCTACTGTATACTCGACTGTACATGAACTAGGTTAAGAAGTGCAGTCATATAACTTTATGGGAATTACCAGAGGATGGAAAGAAAGTTTTTGCCTCAGTGTTTGCAGTTTGCGTAAAAATCAATTATGGAATTTTTAGCACCAAAAATGAAAAATATTCAATACCTACCTACAGTTTAATGGTAACATCTATTTCTATTATAAATCTAGCTAAATATTGATTTCCTCTGTCACGAATTTGTTACTTACGTTCCATCTAAACCTCTGACTGCATCCTCAGCATCTCTAGGATCTTCGTACTCGACAAAAGCAAAACCTGGTGGGTTTCGAGCCACCCAAACGTTCCGCAGGGGTCCGTACTTGCCGAATGAGCTTTCAATTTCATGTTTGCTAGCCGATGATCCCAAATTTCCCACATAAACTTTGCAGGATAGGTCCCATTCACGGAAACGCGACATTTTGCTGAAACATGTTGAAAAAGGTTAAATTTAATGAAGCGGTGTAAACAATAATTTTTACGAGAATGGGGATTAGTTGCTGAATAATTAATAGGTATTGAGTAAACACAAAGATGGTCAGCCATCCATTTATGGAAAGGAAAAGCAGGGTTCGCATTCCAATGAGGAGGTACGAGGGACCTTGGAATAATTAGAATTTGCTTACCTTATTTAGGTGCAGGATTCGCCGAAGTTCAAATATATAAAGCTGACCGGCCCTGGCGCTTGAATGGGAGAATTTAATTGAAAAAATAGTGAAAAGTGAAGACTTTCTAATCAATTAGAAAAATATCAATAATGTGGCTTCGGCAGAGAACACCTCGCAGTAGAAAATAGGCAAAAGTCAAATAAATGTCAGTTGTCAGTGTCAGTCACTGGCCCGCACAATTCCCGGGCACGTTCGAAAACATGGTTGTCGATCGTCAACAATGAAGTAAACGAACACTCTGGAACGGGTGCACTGCTTTATGCTAGTGTGCCAAATTTTGATGTATGCAACTCAGCAATACGGTGAGATTATTGTCTCATTCGCCCTCATTGCGATTAATGTAAAAAAAAGAGATTCTTCATCTGCCTTACCTCAATGATTCAAACACTTCAAACAGTTCATTGATCGTCAAAGATAATAGGCCTGTTCGCAGAGCAATCACCAACCATTCAGAGCGAATTTCATTGGTTGAAAACAATCAGAAACAGTCAGAAAACTAGTTTCAACCAATGAGATTCACTCTGACTGGTTTGTGATTTCTCTGCGAACAGACCTATTACCAGACTACCTACTACAGGAATAGGATAGCCAGGTTTGTTTGTTTGTGTCGAACTAACTTGAACTGACTATTGACTGAGTGCGAAATATTTTAGGTTTGTGACGTCACCAGTGCAACTAACGCTCGTCAGTTCATTGCCAATTTTGCCATTAACACAAAGAATGCTCCAAAGCAGGAAGTGCTGCTTCTAACAACACAAACTAACGAACCTACCATCACGAAAACAAGCCTTTCCCGAGATCCTTGTTCCGAGGGCATGTGGACTTGCTTTTTTAGCTCAAAATGACAATACCCCAACGCATCGGGAGTGTTTATCAATGTGTTTACTGAACTTGGAGTTTATGAACGACACTTTAGAGATGTGGCTGTGATCCCGTACTCACCCCTTTACGGATATAAATTCACAATAGTTGTATTCCTTTTAAGAGCTTGAAACACTCGAGCTACTCGCTCCGGTGTTTAGTCGCCCCCTATTTGCAGGCAACAGATGATGCGTGGTGCAACAAACACTTTTCGAAAGGAATAAGCGCGTGAAGCCCCGGAGCTGCTCCTCCCACGTGTGAAAGGAATACAACTATTACATTTGTTGTCAAAAGATGTCGCAACATACACCACAACATTTTTGAATATCGATTCGTCGATCTTCTTGAAGTGTCAAATTATCAGTTGCTTGATGCTGGTCCTTTTTTTTAGTGGAGTTTTCCTAATTTTCCCTATTAAATAAATTTTTCCCTTCAAAGATGAATCTTTTAATTGCCGGAAATCGAGCTACGAGATCTATTAGATTACCGGAATTCGAAAAAGAACCGTGAACATGCACTCGGTCCGGAGATTTTTGCGATAACATTTTTCCAAAAAATGAATTCTACAACGAAAAGTGGTAAACTCTCACAAGGTAAGTGGAGTAGTTCCTCCTTTTTCCCTTTGTAGAATTCCTTTATTACGAACTCCAACCTATCAGAGTTAAATTTTGTTGGAGATAATTCAAACTTGGCTAATATTTAGTCAGGATTCAGGAAGTCACCTATATCTGGGCCAGACTTCTTGTTATTTATTTTGGGAAAGTCTCAATGACCTCTTGGCATTTATTATGGTTTTCCAGCAAAAGGATACTTACAGTGAAGTGGCAGATCCGAGGGCAGATCTCATAATATTGAAAGAAATGTAGTTAATAGAATAGAACTGTAATTTGTTTTGTTTTGAGGTTTATTTAGTTGGGTTACTTAAGGCCTTGTTTTTGGCATCATCAAACTTATAATTTTTTGAAAATAATCGATACCCAATAGCCAGGATAACCATAAGGTGAAATCTCTTTGGCTAGAACTGCTAGGATTGAGAACTAGTTTCATTAGGCAGGAATGGCAGGATCATACTTATGTGCTAAGTATATATTTTATACCTACTCGATTTTGTATTATTTTTTTATTGTGAAAAATTTCAGTAGATAGGTTCTAGCTCGGGTTCTAGGTACTTTTATCACAAGAAGTATGAATACTCGTATGAATATTACCTACGTAATATACAATGTTTATTGTATTATTGCAAAGTACCTACTTATTTGATCATCTCTTATTTATTGTGGTCCATCGGATTTATTCGTGACTATTTCTTTTTTTTTTGGAAAAAGTTTGATGAAAGCAAAACATTTCTTGCTCATTTTTTCTCGAGAATTCACAAAACAAAATCGTTGAAAATCAGATTTTTTTTCTCTAATATAATAGCGCCTGTGAAATTAATTTTTTTTACTTGTCTTTTTTTTCAATCTCAGACTCTCAGACCTAGTTTTTAAGTAGTTGTAATGTTAGCTCGAATGTTAGACATCTCAGTTGTGGGGCAAATATTGCTCTAGGCCGAGCTCTAGGCTTTTCAATGAAGTGGTTTGTTTCTCGGTTTGTTCAGATTAAGACAACTATCAAAAATACCTGTGGACTTTGAAATACCTACTTATTCTATACATGAACAAGAGAATCCAAATGGATAATCTCCAGGATATAGTAACCTTGGGATATGATAAAAGCAAGCGAAAAAAAAACTATCCATATTATATTTCAGAATTCACCATATGTTGAAGTTCTGTTACTGCCCAAATGTTATGAGGTCTTTGAACAGACATTTGTGGATTTTCAGTCACACTTTCACAAACATCCTTAATATTCTCAACTCGATTCTCAAGAATCTCAATCAAACCAGCTGGAAATTCGCGTACCTACTTTTGTTTTGATATTTTGCACAGATCTGATGGTTGGTGGACAAACAGAATTTTGTAAGAATTAACTTCCCAGAAGAAATACTACAGGATAAGACCATATTCTTCTACTCATGCACAGAAAATGAACTGGAAAATACTCGGGAAAATTTCATAGCCAACTTAAACGGAAGAGCTGCACCGAGACCAGATGAGATTACAACCCTGGATATAAAGAACTTGAAAGGTATCCTCATACCTACACTAACCAAACTAATTGACGACATATTAGCACAAGGACACTACCCACAATGCCTAAAAACTACCAGTCATATCCTCAGTCATACCAATCCATAAAACAGGACATCATTATGACAAAACAAACGGCCCATAGCACTCATATCCACACTGTCAAAAATCGTAGAAAACATTAATTCAAGAATAACCAATTTTATTGAAAACACTTTTGGTTTTGATCTCGGTTTTGATAAACAACAATATGGTTTCCAGGATGAGAAGTAACACAATGGCAGCACTTATTGATTTAATGCAATATGTCACTGAAAAGCTTGATAAAAACAACTATGTGGTTGCTGTCTTTGTTGACCTACAAAAGGCATTTGACACAGTTAACTTTCAAATTCTTTTGGACAAACTTTGGGCAATGGGCATAAGAGGAGTTGCACATCAGCTGATTAAATCATACCTAATTGAGAGAGAACAGTACACTGTAGCAAATCAGAAGGAAAGTAACAAAGAAATACCAGTTTGTGGAGTGCCCAGGGATCAGTCTTGGGCTGGGGTCTTGTATTTACTTTATGTTCACAGCCTGTCAAAAGTTGACATGGGATGTAAATGTAAATATAAGTATTATAGTCTCAAGAGCCCAGAGCCGCCAGACACAACTTATTTTCTAAAGGACAGAATATGTGGGATTGAGTAGCACTTATAGGTACTATGAACGTATGTATATGGTTTTTCCTATCATGGGAAAACCTAATCCCATTTCTACTCTAGCCTAGAGTAGACTGTAAGTTTAAGAGTGGGAAATCAGTTGACATTGATATCTCGCTCACTCTCAAACGCATGCATAGTACCCTCGCGCTTACACTCCCGGAAAAATTATTTTGCGTCTGGGGGGATGTTTGGTCGGTGCAATTGGTCTGGCTGAGCACACGTAGTTATGAAATGGTCTCCCCAATACCATATATAAAAATCAAGCGTTAGAACAAAAGTTAAAGCTTTCTTCAGCTTTTGCACCTGATGTTGGTAAATTGGCCGTCCACCCAACTTAGCGGGTATCCATACGTTCATAGTACATGTAAGTTCTACACAATCCCACATATTCTGTCCTGTAGAAAATAAGTTGTGTCTGGCGGCTCTGGGCTCTTGGACTATTACTTCTGCTGATGACACAGTGTTGTTGTTCAAAGGGGGTGATATGGAAGCACTTGAAGATACTATAAATAACTGTATATTGACATATTATCCGTTCACATTCCGATGTCCACAGGTACAGGTAAAATTTATCACCTTTCAATGCTTTTTGACAGGGAAAGGTGATAAATTTACCTGTACCTGTGGACATCGGATTGTGAACAGGATATATTTCCAGTGGCTACTAGAAGAATTATTTAAAAATCAACATTAAAAAAACTGTTTACCTGCAATTTGCTCAAAAAAATAAAAAGCAAATTGACATCAATATTAAAATAAACAATAAGGCCCTAAGTAAAGTGAACTCTTACAAATACTTGGGTATAATTATTGTTGACTTAAATTTTAAAGAACATATTCAGAATATCCAAAATAGACTTTCATGTGCCTGTGGTGCCATTAAACAATATGTAAATAATTTGCCAAACGGCATTAAAACATCCATATACGAATCATTTTTTTAAATCATAATTTCAATATATAGATACTGATATACTCAATATACTGTTTTGATTGTTATTATTATTTCTTTTTTCAATGTATTATTGGATTATAGAATTCGGTACCAGTGCCGCTCTAGGTGTACTGATTAGAATTCAGAAATAAAAGTATTTGAAAAAAAAAAACATGTTGCTAGACATGTTGTTCTACTGCGTAGCGCTCCATTGTTGAAATTCTACTGAATTCCACAATATAATAAAAAACGAATAACATAAACAAGTGAGAAACCAAGCTTGAAATAAGAAGGGTAGCAGATTCATTCAAAACCTCTTATTGGAATATACCCATTACTTATGAAACATGGATCTATGTTAATGAACTACAGCTCTTTGACGTAGGAAGGTTTATCAACAAAATTGTGGTGGATTTGTCATTCTTTCCTCCTTGGCAGACTCCTTGGAAATTCGACAGATTGACCCCTCGGGCCTCGATTGACGCTTCTACTCGCCCTCCTATAGGTAATAATGGGCATGTGAAATTAAGGTCAGTCTCAGAGTCTCAGGTCCTTGTTACATCATATCGAGTCTCCAAAAAAAAAACAATCAAAGTTTGCTAAGGTTTTTTAAATGTATGTATTATTTTTCTTTAATTTTGTCAATGAACTTAACAAATCACATGACTGTCAAAATTTCGGAACAAATCGATGAAAAAGATGACAAAAACTAACACAGTTTCTGTTAATTTTAAAAGCAACGTTATGTGTCACTTGTGTCACTGTTTATTTTATACGGATAAATGGGAAACAGAGACATGTATAGATTTTCAGCACAGCTGTTAGAATAATAAAAGAGGATACATCAATATTTGAAATTAGAAGATACTTCTTTAGGAGAATCAAGAGCAATTCAGTTAATAACTTTTTTATAATAATCAAAAACAAAAACGTAACTATTTATCTACTAACCCAAAGCTAACTATACACATAAAAAATATACAATAATAAAAACACAAAGGTAAAACCCTCTGTAAAAACACAAAGGTAATACATAAAGGTAAAAATATCGGGTCTTCAAAAAAAAAAACAATCGAAGATTGCTTTGATTACGAAAACGTACGTCGCATTACTGTTTCGTTATTGGTCAGAATTTTTGACATGACATTTTGACATTAAAGTTCATTGAAAAATTAAAGAAAAATATTGCTAAGACATACGTTTAAAAAACCATAGCAATCTTTGATTGTTTTTTTTTTTTGAAGACCCGATACAATGGTAAAAACACAAAGGTCACTACATAACCTACCTCCAGAAGTGTTCTACTTCGAAATTTTAAACCTAACTTTTTTTATTTTTTTCTTTATTTCATGTTTCACTGGTGCAGATTTTTTCATATTCAATACTGATTCCAAAGAATTATCCAACAAACATATATCTATAAACGCTGGTTTAATACGATCAATTGATACATATTATAGGGTTTTTCGTTTAAGTCTATTTAAAAAAATTTTTCTACAAACGTGTTAAAAATGCCATTTTTAACACCCTCCCGTAGCATTAAAAATGTTACTTTATCGCACTAGTGCCATAAAGTCTTTATAGCACTAGTGTTAAAAATTAAACATCAAATTTTGAGAGCGAACGTCAAAAAAAGTTTGTATTTTTAGTTATTTACATTGATATTAATGGTGAAATTTGAACAACTGAGGTAGACCGATTGGCCGCCTCATCTATATTTTTGAAGGGATCGATGCAACCCTTTTTTTCTTCTGTATTTTATTGCATTTTTAGCAAAAAGCATTACTGACCACGACAGACTTTCAAGAAACTGACAAGA